ATCTATTCCTAATTATGAATTAAACAGGAGAGTTAAGAGAAGTTTTTCTCAGATGAGTTAGGAGAAAACTTTGTTATTAACATATCTAGGGTAAGTTTAAATATACTGTGAAAATTTATGTTAATCTTGAGTTGACTATATAGAGTTAATCATTTTAATTCATTTCAGGTGTTTCCTTAATCATCATAAAAAAGGGGGAGATTGAAAGCAATGAGGGTGAGATTGATGGTAATATGAAATATGTCCCTACATTCCCAAGAGATGATTTTGATGATGATTCAAGTCAACAACATTCAAGTATCAAGTAAGCCTAAGATATGATTTTGATAAAGATTTAATTCAACATTCAAGCAAGCCCAAGATGATTCCTAAAGACTAGATAGAGTCTTGAATACTGGATATGGAGGTACAAGTTGATAAAGTAATATTATGCATAAGCCTCAAAAGCACAAGTGTGATAAAATTTTACAACATGACATTTTTCACTGTCATAATTGATTATGATGCATCAGAATTGAGAAATTGATTTTTACCCCGACATAATCAATTATGCTAAGGAGATAATCGATTATGACAGTTCGAAATTCAAAAATATATTTGTTTTAAAGAATAAATGTTTTTTAATATATCCTGATTATTATCCACGGAAATATTAATGTTCAACGACTATTTTTTGATGTTATTTTTCTATTTAATTAAGTTTTGATAAAAAATAAAAAACACACAATTACAGAATTCGAAAATACAATTTACATTCAATCAGTTTTGAGAAAATAATTATGAGCAAGGCAACATAGATATTTTACATGTTTTGAGAAAACCCTCTTCTACATTGCCTACTGTGCTTTCATTGTTAATCACACTTGTTCTTGGAGGTTGACATTCTACAGGCTTCTACAATTTGTTGTCTCTATTACCCAAGTATGACTGTTCTTATTTTATTACTTTCATCCTTTGTGGGCTTAAGTGGTTGATTGTTAAATTCCCTGTTTAGGGTTTAAGTAGTCACTATCATTCTGTTGTGTTTTTTTAGGTTTCCTGTGTGGAAACTGTTCATCCCTTTAATTTGTTCAGGGAGGTGTTTTCATCATTTGATTTGTTCAGAGGAGGTGTTCATCCCTAGTGGGATTCTAGGGAGGTGTTCGTCCTTAGTGAGATTCTAAGGAGGTGTGTTCATCATTTGATTTGTTCAGAGAAGGTGTTCATCCCTAGTGGGATTCTAGGGAGGTGTTCATCCTTAGTGGGTTTCTAAGGAGGTGATTGTCTTTTGAATTAGTTTACTTTATGCTGAGTTGATTGTAATTTATGAACTAAATTTAAAAGATAGTGAATTGAGGTCACTCTTGTGTTAAGAGTTGACTGGGAACTGCATGTAGGGTTGGTTATACCCGAATCAGTATAAATCACTCTGTACTCTTCTTTTTCCCTTATCCTTTTTTCAGTGCATTACTCTCCTTACACCCCTTATTTTTATCTCTATCTTTCTCTATTTTGTTGATATTTTATCTCTCTGATTATATCGCTTCTGATTTATCTTTGTTCAATTTGATAATTAAAATTGGATTAATAAATATTGGACATCTTAAAATAAATTTTTAATTTGACATCTATTTTAATTTGTGCATCTATTCACCTACTTTAGATGTCATTTGTCTATCAGCATCCTCTAGAAATTTTATTTTGAAACTCATTTGACCATTCATGCTCTAAGCTCAAGGGGCTTATGTGCTTATTTGTTTTCTTGAAACTAAAATAGATTCTTCATAAAGTAATAATTGAGTATATTATTGCCTCAATCAAATTGTATTAATTATTTGGTTATATATTAAATAATGTAGGAATTAATTACATCTTTTCAAATTTTTGTGTGATCCCTATTAATTGAAAGTCGTGTAGACATTGAAAACTACTTTGCCACATATATATCAATCATATACTAATTTAAGCATCAAAGTATCTTCACATGTCCTTCACTCCATTGTCTCATTAATCTCAAGAACTCAGCCACATTAATTCCAGATTTTCACAATTTGTTTGACTATGTTGATGTCGATTTCCCCAATCCAACCTCGTAGATTTCAGATCTCCTTTGCTCGATTGTATTTGACAACAAAATAAGATTTTCATTAATATTAGTCTTGTCACGAAGTCAAATTCATTTAATTGTAATATTGTCATCATAATATACTTTTTGAAGGGGTATATTTTTTTTTAAGATTTAATAACAAAGAGAATTAGTTATGTTCCATATAAATCAAATTTCATTTCCTCCACTTAGATAAATTAAATATATATTCATTCATTCTCTTATATGAACTATTATTTTCAAAAGTTTATTTAAAATTTTGATAAGATTTAAAAAGTGAAGACTCTTGCTTTACGTGGGTAAGAAAAGTTTTATCATACCTACAGAACACCAATGTTCTTACCTAAAATTGACTATATCTGACTATACAAATTTATGTTAATGAAGCTTTAATACATGTGAGTTGCAGACAATGTTGATGAATAAACTCCCAAAATAATGAGGTATGAACAAAAAGGATGAGATATAAAGATATTTTGATTTTTAAGTTAGTAGAAGAAGAGGAAAATAGTTATAGCAAAAAAGTATATAGGAGAATGAAATGATATACAAAAGAATAAAATACTCATATTTTATCAAACTTTTTTAGCTAAACAATTATATTTATTTTAATGCATTAATTGTCTTATTAATGTAAAATTATTTTATTTTATAATAATGTAATTAGATATATTATTTTATGTGTTATTAGTTATTTAATATATTAATAAGATATATACAAGGAAATCATCCCATTTATAACATCTTCCCATTTATAACATATTTAGTTTCATAGGAGAAAAATAAATGTTTTTGAACATGATATCAAAAATAATTTTAATAAAATTTATTACTTTTATCATATCATTCTTGTTACTAGATTTAAAATTTCAAATGTTAAACTCCTATCATATCTATCTCTCCATATATATAAAATATGTTGCTTTATAGGTCGGTTGAGTTAAATGAATCTCATACAAAATTTTTCTTTCCGATAGATATATAATTATAGATTGTTCACGGGTGCACCATATACCAAGCTATTCATAGAATCCACCATTTGTGACATGCAGAAAAGAACGTTTTCATGTGAATCTGGATGATGGCATTTCATATTTATATATTATTTTACTATATACCATTTCCATACTTCCCTAAACAACCAAATAAAATTACATATTTCAATGTATCCTTGCTAAACACCAAACCTCTGCATTTCATTTGGTTGCATACATTTTCGAAAGAGATAATTAAATTAACCAAGACAAAAGAAACACATCCCATACATTAATAAGAAGGTGAAAATATCAATATTTTTTGTTCCCTCTTCCATCCAATCAAATACTAAATAAGGGATCGGATAATTGACTTTTCTAAAAACATTTTTTTTTTCTGTTGTTTCTTTTAATTTCAGTAGCAAACAAAAGTGTGAAAGAGATGAATAATAATGGACGTAACGTAGGTATAGCTGCTGGCAGGTCCCTACCGCGACGAAAAGTTAAAAGAGTCCCTCCCTCCCACACAAACCAGATTGTGTTGCATTGTCAGTGTCAATCCGTGAGCCTTGCTTCCTGCCAATTCCATTGCTTTTTTCACCTTTTCACTTTCTATTTCTGGCACCACTATTTATTCATTAGTGCTTTGCGTAGCACCATTTTTATTTTTAACCTAACTTGAACCCACCACATATTTTACTTCTTTAGCACATATTTATCTCATAAATTTGAAAGCTTAGAAGTGATGAGATATAACCCTATAATAGAAATCATTTCAGTAACTAAGTTCTGGATATTCCCATTTCAGGCACCCTAATTTCTAGGGTAGCGATTAGTGTGCAGTGCAGTGAACAGTGTGAGTATTATTTTTTCTCTTGTTCATGGTTGACAACTAACTAATACTATATCTGCAGCGTGTCCCTTCCAAAACAATCCACACATTTACTTAACGTTTAGGGCAACATTTACTTTGTGACATCATTTATGACATGGTCTTCCCTAAAATGGATTTGGACCCACACTATTGGCCCATTAAAGATGGTGACTCATCCATCCATTGTCTACAGCTGTGTCATATCCATGTGCTCTTTCGCTCTCAAAAGCAGATCAACACACCCAAAGGCCGTAACCCATTTTGCACCTTTCTGTGGCCACGTATACCAAACAATATTACTTTACTGTCTTCAAAATCTTCATTATTATTGTGATGCCAATGAAGGGAGAGAGGATGAGTAAGCTAAACTATGCTTTACAAGATAAAGAAGATGAAAGCAGAACACTGGATTGAAGAATCCTAAATATTCAACTGCAAAACCCAAATAATCGAATCCAAATTGGTGACTGCTATAGCTAGCATCCCTCAAAAGCGAAACACAAAGCAAAACCACCATTGGTATAAAAGGTACGGATTGAGATAACCACCACCGAATAAACTTTATGAGACTGAGATCCATGGAGGAAAAAAGGGAGGGCAAAAATTGCAAATGAAAAGTAAAACACACATGCTCATGCTCATACTCATACTAGTTTATATATAACCAACAAAACTATGTCGGCTTCGGTCCCCCCATGTTTCCCATGTCATTCAATGTGGAACCAATCCCATACATAACATCCCTTTTTAACGTTATTGGAGAACCAAGTTGCAAAAATGCAAATTTTCATTTTCCACCCCCACCCTAAGAGTAATGGGCCCCCTAAGAGTAAAGGCATATAGACTTGTATCAGAAAAATTTGTACACCATGCTTTGAATATGTGGCACCAAATTTTGATCATAAAGTCAACTTTTATGAGCGGATTTTTGCCACCAATCCCAAATAACCAACCGCTGAAGAAATGTTGTGGCTACAGAATTATCGGAAAGGTGCGCTAGTTTCTAGACCAAATTATTACTGAGCTGTATGTACACGGAATGACGCGGGTATCCCCTTCTTTTCCGTTATTGCTGCTGCTGCTGCTTGTGTGAACACGTACACTTAGCGCGATTATCTGAAAGAGTCTAACCAAGTACACACAAAAACATATATATAGAAAATGAGTATCTGAATAGGTAAATGCTTCACAATTCACTATCACCACATATATTATTGGTTGTGTATTTCTGGTGTTTTCTCAAAGTGGTAAATGGTTTTTCTGTTTTGTTTCTACGAGATCATTTTATTTTGGGGTGCACCTGGCCCGGTGTATAAGACAGACATAGGAGTGAGAGAGGTTGGTTTGTAACATACCTCAACTTGCTTTTGAAGGTCTTTAATGTACTCAATGGCTAAGTCCAACATGTCTGCAGTGTTTGTTTGCTGCAGATAGAGGAAAAACAACATTGGTACATGCGTCCTCCCCAATTCACACATAAAAGGTGACGTGTGTGTGCGTGTGTGTGCAGCATGTCAAAATCTTACCTTATCCATGTTGGGGACGAGATCTTGCAGTTTCCTCATTCGCTCACTAATTTTAGTTCTTCTAACCTGAAGGGCAGTTGACACAGATGACCATTTTCAAGTTGCCCAATTAGGCCTAGGCATGCAATAAAACTCAACAATGTAAAATGTTTGGTCCTATCCATGACATGAAAAATTATTGAGAAAAGTTAGGCTGCCTATTTTAGAATCAAGAAGCCAAGTACAAGTGAAAAAGAAAAGGAAATAATTTGGGGTCTGGATGCTTGAGTAACAGGACAATGTCTCGTTACAAGAGAGAAAATATTGATGGAATGGAACCAACACATACTATGGTGGGTCCTATAATAATATCTTGTATCTTTCTTTCTGTATTTCTTATAACATGACAATAAAATAAGTTTGTATCTGATTCAACTTATTTTAAAGAAATAATCAGGCACATGAGTTTTTGGAAAATAAGTCATTATTTTTCCAAAAAAACCCGTACAAAGCATGCATAACATGAGAGGACTTTAATCCAATAATTTGGCTAGAGCAATTCATACCCTTTCCGCAATGCTCCTTGGGTGAGTGGCACATCCTCGCTTGGCACGAATTTTGCAAGGAACAGAATCTGAGAGCTGTAGAAACTTCTCAATGGCTGCCATTTCTGCAGAAGTATTTGGCATACTCAATTGATGAGACAAAGCAGTAGAAGGTTGGCCTCCTGTTTCATTCTGATCAACGCAACAAAATCAAGGTCAATGACATTTCACTTCAAAACTACACATCACACACTACCAGGATCCAATGGTACCTACCTGATTTTCAGGTGCGTTTAAACCAGAAAATGGTTTTACATCTTCATCTCTATATCTCTTCAGACCTGTTATATTGTCAGGCATGATTGCAGAATCATCCCATGGACCAACAGGGAAACCAGGGATAAATTCATTGCCCTGGTTTTCAGCAAACCCTTCATTTTCTGCATCATTCTGTGTATTGCTTTTGTTTCCAATTTCAGTCCTTGATGACATTAGTCCAGAAGAGTAGTTTGGTGCATTCTTCATCCTTGTTGCGGGAGAAAAGTTTGCTTCCTCAGTACTATTATTAACAGCTCCCATAGTCCCCATGCATCTTACAGCAGCATAACCTGTCAATCAAGCTTGCATAGCGTCATTATGACAACCTATTCATAGAATAAGAAAATGAAGATTGTAATAAATATGATGCCTAAACCAGGAAATATCTATCACTGTGCCCATGTTTAGCTCAACCAACCTCTTTAAAAAATGATAACATTCCTACCAAATTCTACCAAGACCATAGAAATTCATTTAGAAAATCAATCCTATGAGATACCAGAGCAAAACATTAATCTCTCAAAATACAAGTATCTTTCGTGTTCTTGCATACCCACAAAAAGAATGACATAATTTATTATACACTTGCATTTACTCCTTTTTTTTTAATAACTATAATTCCTTTGTTTGTTCTATAAAGAAAATCCATCGATTTAAAATAGTCAAATTTTGATATATTTTTCTCCTCTCTAGCACCAAAATGTGTCTAAAATAACATATTTGAAGATATTTATACCTGAACTGGCAAGGATTTATGTAATTCTTTTTCCGAGAAGATTTTTCTCCTTTGCGCGTGCATTGAGGAGATTTAAAAATAAATAAAAGAAAAGAAAACCGGAATGGAATGGAAACAAACAATAAAATCTCTCTGAAAAAAAAAGGTACCATTTTTTTTAAAAGGAAAGAAAAAGGGTGAAATGAAAAATAAATAAATAAATAGCCGAAAACATGGAAGGAAAAGAAATTATGCATACCACTTTCAATGTTAATGTTCGAAAACAATCCAGCAGGTGAGCTACCATGCCTGATAAGATTTGAAGTACTTCTACGACCAGTCTCCATCTGGTTTGGCAAAGGTGGTCGTCCAATGTTGTGGTAAAAATTCTGAGGAGCAGAAGAGCCATAATTATTGATATTACTTTGCTGTTGATGCTGTTGTTGTGGTTGTTGCTGTTGTTGTTGTTGTTGGAGAACAAGGGGTTCATTATTGATGGACGGTAAAGGCATGTCCTTAGGTTGTTGATTAACCTCTTCTTTAACTGCAACAACGGTTGAGGGATTCTGTGTAGGAAGTGAATCCTCTGCATCAGCAGCATCAGCATCACCCCCACCAAGACTATTCACAAAGCGTGTCAACATTCGTTCTGTTTCTGGGCTAGAGGGTCGATTGAAAACGTGCTCGTAGAACTCACGGTCGATGATGTTCGAAAAATACGAACTCGGAGCCGATCGGTACCGTGTCAACCCTGAATTCGTCTGCTGCTGGTGGTGATCCAAAAACATGGGAGGGTGCTGCTGAAGATCTGACTCCATTAGTCTCTTCACTTCTTAATTCACACGTGCCCCCAATTACAACCAAACCTTCCTTTTTTTCCTGAGATTATCTTCTATGCTCTAACCACTCTCATCAGATCACACTAACTACTTGGAACCCTCTATTTCGTCAGAAAAATAAAATCTTTGTCCCAGCTTTTAGCATAACAATTCCAAAGATCTAAACCCAACAAAGCAAACCACCCCAAACCAAATCTAGATAGATAACTTAACTAAAAACTCTAATTGGGTTGCCTCAAAATCAGGAAGAGATCAAACAAGCTATAAGAAAAAGAAGAAAAGGAAAAATAAATATTATGAGCTGTAGTTTCTACTTTCTATCTATCACACTCACACATAACATCGAAAGTCATAGAAACTAACGGTAACCGGTTTTCCTGTTCCTGAAAGTGAATCAAAATAACAAGTCAGCTCACAGGGACAAGACAAGTAAAAGAGAGCAAAGGATGTGAAGTAGGAAGTTTGAAGAAAACATGTACCTGCTCTTGGTGCGTGAGTGTTTTTCTTTTTCTTTTCTTTTTATTTATTGAAGGTTGTGTGAAGTGGTGGTGGAGATGGGTGGGAGAAGGTTCAAGAGAAGAGAAAGGGATTAGAAAAGTAATAGCAAAGGATTTAGTTGGTTTGTGAGGAGGTGCAGCCAATGGGAAGTGAACAGAACCAAAAATCCAGCTGAGATTTGTGGTGTGTGTGATGCGTAGGAGTTTTACTATAATGCCCTGAGCTTTTGAGAGAAACGAAAGAGTTGATGAACGTGGCAGGGGGGGCTTCCAGAGAGAGAAAGAACACAAGTTAATCCTATATTTAGAAGTAAAGGTAGGTTTTGATAAAATGGGAAGTATACGAGGTGAAATGACTTTATTGCCTTCCCGCCATTCTCCCTCTTCTTCATTCATATCATCGTCATCATCATCAATGAAATCATTTAACTATCATTTCATTTCCCAGCACAACTATTTCCAACACACATCACACATGGATCCATCCATCCATCTTTATCCTTTTTTTTTCCTTCATTTGGGAATAAACATATTATCATAACAACTAAGACTAATTAAACTTTTAATTCCCTCCTTTGACTTTTATTTAAATAATTTTAATCAGAGAGTTTAATTAATATCACTTATCTATCAAACATTCAAATAATTTCTCTAAATGTAGTGCTGTCAATATACACTCAAATGAGGGTTGAGTTGAGCCAGTTTTGCTCCACAATCTCCTACAACAACAAAAAAGTTAAATATGACTATAATTATGTTCGATTTCAGGCAATGTTTTTTTTTTTTTTTCTGACCCTACACTCTGAAAATTAATGAGTAACTTAATACATATATCATGTATGTGCTTTTGTCAACCCTTTGCATCACTTTGAGACATACATTTTCTTAATAGTATTTGTCCAAATAAAATCGATAAGCAATTAATATATACAGATAGATAAATAAAATAAATAATTCATATAAAATAAAAATGCACATCTTATTGTGTTTTTATTAAAATATTATTAATAAAGTAAGTGTGAACATAGTTTAAATATTATATATATTTATCATTCATATGAAGATAAATAAACATAGTATTGGCTGATGTAACTAGTTAAACTAACAAAATGAAAATAAATATAATTTTTTTTTATTTGTAATCCATTCTTAGTATAAAATAAATTTAGATAATTTTGGATTCTTAAATGAATTTGTTACAATAATTCTAAATATATTTTATAAAAAAAATTAATCATTTTATTATTAATTTATTTAAAATAAATATTCAAATTTAAATTAACTTTATAATTAATGCAAAAAATTAACTTAATTTAAAATATATATATTAACACTAACATCAACACATACACACATTATATACCACAAGTAACAAATGTTAGACATCAATACTTATGCTATTAGGTAATGTCCTATGAATCTTTTGATCCACATCACTGCCTAAGAATAATTGAGTTTCCCTTAAAAATAAATCTGCTGCTAAGACAATTCGATGACAATTAGGACAATCTAATTTTTATTTTTATTCTTTTTTTGTTTTTCAATTGAAGAATGTTACAGTCAAATTTTAAAACTGAAAAGTCCAATTTTTTATTTTTTATTTTCTTTTTCAACACCGTATGATAGAACTCAAATAAAATTTCAAACTGAATGCACATGTTTGTGTATTTTATTTTATTTTGATATGATTTTGTTACCATCTTACTTTTTGTGTTGAATTCCGAATGTCCATATTTAATATCACTCATAATCATGTGATTTGAATATATTTTAAACTCTCTTAAGATAATAAAAATAATTGTGTTGTACCCAGCTAGTCCCATGTAGCATGTGAAGGCCAGGTAGCAATATTTTCACCTCATCGTCACCAATTACATCAGAAAGGGAGGTAATTGAAGTGCATAAAATAAAGATACAAAATCTGAGACAAAATCTCAATGATTTAAAAAAAATAGATAACCGCAACACATGTACTTGGAATATTGGTGTTGGTGGAAGTGGAAGAAAAAGGGAAATATTTCTCTGTTGTGCATGGGGGACCAATGTTTCCACGCGTACGTTTGTGCGCCAAGATGCCTTAAATATTGTTTCCATGGACCCTAATATGTGTGTCATCTTTCATTTCCTTTATAAATTATACATTTTTATAAGAACAAACAAAAGTTTTGGGAGATAGAGGAAGTTGACCCAACTCAAAATTTCAGCAAACTGTGTTTCTCTTTTAAATAAATCACACACTCTATTCATAGTACGGTAAATGATGACGATACTGTGTGTGTATAGTTTGTTCAATTATTATAAATATTTAACGCTTGAATATAATTATGAAAAGTGATGAAGAAAATTAAAAGAAAAAAATATAGTTTAATGTTAGTTATTTTTGCATAATTCCATTAGACACGTATAAGTTAATCATATAAAATAATTTCATTTATATTCAATATAGATTTTAATTAACACTTAAATTCTCAATATATAATATAAATATTATAATATTTTTTATTATAATGTACATATTATAATATTTTGTACTTTTATAGATGATTTTCAGTATATTTAATATTTTAAAAGAGATTTAAAAAAAAACTTAAGTATAGAAATTTTAACACATTATATTTTATTATCTACTAAGTATAATTTCTTCAAATTTTTTTAATCTTATAATAGAGCGTTAGTCTGCTACTAAAAAGAAGAAAACAATGTTTTCTTTTATTTTTTAATCAATTTTAAAATCTATTTCTTATTTTGTTGTGTTTTTAAAATATATTAAACAGAACACATATAATCATTAGTGCAAAAAAGACTTTCTATGTCGGTGAAAATGAGCTTTTTACGTCGGTTAAAGAGGCGACATAGATACAGGGATCATAGAAAGTATGACTTTTTATGTCGGTTGTTATGAACCGACATAGAAAGTAATGGGTTTTTACGAAAATTTATATTAACAGGATTCGAACCCAAGTACATTGTAGTCTAGAATTAGATCAATCGTTTATATTATATTTTATAATATATTATTTTATTATCTATTAGAAGTTTGTCATTAGCAAGATTCAAACCCGTACCTTAGAGTTGAAGACTAATACTCCAACCACTAAGCTATTATGATTTTCTCGATAAATAACTTACAAATAAATTATATTTATATACAAAATATATAAATACAAATATATTTATATATTTTGATATATTTATATATTTTGATATATTTATATATTTAATTTTTTTTATTTAATATACACTTTTTATGTCGGTTAAATTTGAACCGACATAGAAAGTACTTTCTATATCGGTTAAAATTTAACCGATATAGAAAGTGAACTTTTTATGTCGGTTGAAATTTAACCGACATAGAAAGTGAATTTTTTATGTCGGTTGAAATTTAACCGACATAGAAAGTACTTTCTATGTCGGTTCAAATTTAACCGACATAGACTCACATACCATGTCGGTTATATAATAACCGACATAAAAAGTTTATAATATTATTACAAAAATGTCACCGCTCTATATATTATGACGGGTGGATTACAACCGTCATAAAAAGTCGTCATAGAATCATATTTTTCTACTAGTGAATATTTCTTTGATGCTAATTAAGTTTTATTCAAACACGCCTGGATATCATAGTAATGTAATTTAAATTCAATTAAATGTTTAGTTTATTTATCATGCTTAGTTACTGTCTTTATCTTTAATATACTTATTTATTATAATATAATGTTTTATATTTTTTAAGGTTTAAAATTATCAAAACTGAAATACTGAAGCAGCTAGTCATATATATATATATATATATATATATATATATATATATATATATATATATATATATATATATATATATATATATATATATATATCTATATCTAGTTATTAAGTTTCCTAATTTATTGTAAATTAGGCATAGAGTATTTTAATATATAAATTACAAAAAAGGGCTATATTGACTAAAAAAATTCTTATTCATAACAATTAAAATATCACCTTGAAAACATTTCATAATCAAAATTGGAAACTATATCATAGTAAATATATAAAATTAATTTAATATAATTATGAATATATCTGGGCAATTTTTTTTATAAAAAATTAAAATATATATATATATATATATATAAATGAAAATTATACATAAATTAGTCTGTAAATAATTTTATATATTTTTCTAAATTTTTTAATTTACTTATAAATTAATTTTAATCTGTGAAAAAGTTTATTTCATTTTATTTTTCTCTGAATAAAATATTTATTAACAATTTTGTACTGAAATACTATGTAAATTCCAGATCCATATTACTCCTGGTCCAAACAATATACCTCCTCTTATTTTTACTTATTTTGTGGTAAAAGTAGTATATATAATGTAAGTGTAAAATTGAATTATAACTTCTTTTGGAAAAATAGTAAAAATGTTATATAATTTAATGAATCATGTTATTAATTGTAAAAAAATTAAATAGTTATATTTGTCGGTAAAGAAGAATAAATTTTATTTTTTAAAATATTTATTTTAATTTAGTTATATAATATTTTTAATATTTATTAGTCTGTTCAAATTATATATATATATATATATATAATATTAAAAACACTAAATAATTTTTTAGTATGGAAATTAATGGATAAAGTTATACTTCTCTAAATTAATGGATTAACACCTAAAACCATCCTAATTATAACAAATCCTGACCTAACCATAACAAATAACAGATAAGCTTATCCTAGTATCACGCGCCCTGCCCCATTTTTTGACACACCCATGACAGCTTAACCCGTTACTTGTGTGTGATTGGGACTTCAAATAAAAAATTATTAAGGACAGTCATAACCCTACGGCAAGAAACTCCTGATCAAATAATAATAAAAACCAACAATACGCGATACTTATCGCATAACACAACAGTTCTAAAAATAAAATTATATCTTTATTACAATACTAACTCACCGTTAAATATATAACTTTCATCAGTTTTACTTTTATAATTACTTTTCTTGTTTAATTAAGACATCACGTTCAAGTTTTGCATATGAAAAAACAAAATCCCTCAATAAAAATAAATTAATCATATTTCAAATATTTAAAATTTAAATAAACCTTATCTCCATAAAAGGTACATGTGAGGTTATATGAATTACACCACATAATTTTTCATTTTAAGTTGTTATACTAATTATTGCAAATTAAATAAAGTTACTCGTGAGTGTGTAACTCAACTTTGAGATTGACCAACTTTTTTATTGTTAGTATCTCAAACCAAACTGTTTTTTTCTTCTTTAAATAATAATGTAATGTAACAATACTTGAGAATAAGTTCTAAATGCAATCCAATTAATAAACCTTACAATCATGACAAGTTTTCATATAATAAATTATTTATTTAATTATATTTTCA